GAGAGAGAGAGAGAGAGAGAGAGAGAGAGAGATGGAGCAAAAGAGAGAATTGCCACTGCTGTTATTCACCGTCTCTATGAATTTTTAAAGTAATCGTGTTACAACATGATCCCGTATATACGTAACATACGAGCAAAAGCTGGGTGCGGCACTTAATACTAATCAACTAAAATGTTAGATTAAGTCACTGTGTGTTACACTCCAGTGTGCTGTGATTACGACAAATCATCACACTGCGTGCAGTGTACTGTGGGTCGAGTTAGGGAAGCTACGATGCCGCTGATTCTCGTTGCACAGTCTACGTGGTTCGTTTCAAGTCCGGGTCAGTGCCGAGCCGTCAGTGCCGAGCCGTCAGTGCAGAGCCGTCAGTGCCGAGCCGTCAGTGCAGAGCCGTCAGTGCAGAGCCGTCAGTGCCGAGCCGTCAGTGCAGAGCCGTCAGTGCCGAGCCGTCAGTGCAGAGCCGTCAGTGCGGAGCCGTCAGGGCAGAGCCGTCAGTGGGTCATTCCTCTTACGATGCTTGGTCGTACGGCTCGCACGACGGTACGACTCTGCGAAACGAGAAAAAAAGCATCACGTTTGTGAATTTTAAAACCCTGCTCGTACACGTCATTTAACTCGCAGCTGACATTTTAGCAGATACGACAGAGAGATCGTATAGTCGTATATAATAATCGTGCGTAATCGAGGAGATATCGTGAGATACAGTCAGAATAGAAAAGTAATCGCAAAAGGATAATAATTGCATTGAAATCGCTAGCGATCGAAGGGAAAACATCGTATCAAATACGCCTGCTTAAGATTACAAATTTATATTAATATTTTTTATTTTTTTTATCTATTACGTAGTTAACGGTCACGCGCAGCCAGACAAAGCTGCTGTGTGTTACTCACGGTGGAGCTAGTCGCTGACAGGCGGACGCCGCTGCTGCGAACCTGAGCGCGAAGCTTCGTTAGTCCGCTCTCAGCATCCTCCGCCCGCGTCTCAGCCTCCTCCAGCTCAGCCTGCGCCTTGCGGTACTTGGCCAGGTTTATGTTGGCTACCTCCTCGGCCTCCTCAATCTGCCGCTTGTACAGCTTCGCTTTTCCGTTAAATTTCTCGATCATGTCGACGAGGTGTTGCTGGTACTTTTTATCTTCTTCGATCTGCGCTTGCATCTCTCTCACCTGCCGGTCGACCTTGCGGAAGTTCTTCTGGGCTTCACCAAGGCGGCGCCGCTCAGCATCCAGCTCGCTCTCCAGCTCGCGCACGCGCTGCTCCAGCTTAGCGATCAGCTTCTTGCCTCCCTTCAGTACGTTCCTTGCGGCCTCGTAGCAGACGCACAGACGGTCCTTGGCTGCAGCTTCCTGCGACTTGCAGCACTGTCGTGGGTGCGCAAGTGCTCCTGCTCCTGCCAGTACTCAGCGAGAGCGCGTCGCGTTAGCCACGCCATTCGCCTTCAGTCGTCGGCGGACTTAATCTCGTTGAGGTCTAGTCGAGGTCTGCCTGCATCGTCGTTATGTCTCCTCGCTTCCTCTTCACAGCCGCTCAACGGAAGTACCCTGGCTTGCAGATCTCGTTACGGGTCGTTGGGCGTCGTTGAGTCTTCCCTCCACGGCGCGGCGGTGGGCGGCTTGCTTAGCGCGTGCGCGTTTCTCCGCTCGGGGCGCTGATGCGCGTTGCAGCGGCGCTCGCTGGACTCCAGATGCCCTCTCGCAGCTCGTCGCTTGGACGCCGCTGCTCTCTGTCACCTGTCCGCCTAGGTCGACGACGTTCCGCCTGAGCTTCTTCAGCATTCTTCTGCGGCGTCGGCGTTCTGACGGTTAGGCGCCATCTAGCGACACTTCCAGCTCGTTGCATGTCGTGCGCTCAGAGCTTCTTGCGCATAGCGCAGCGCCTCAGCTTGCCGCGAGACTCGCCTCGAGGTCGCGCATGCAGGGATCGACGGCGCGCTAGGGCGTTGCGGACGCGTCGTCTCAAACTCGTCGTCTCTCGTTTTGAGACGTCGGTCGACTCCTGGCGCATCTGCTGCAGCTCCAGCTTGCGCGGCACGAACCTTCGCTCTCCGTCTCGAGCGCCGCCCTCGAGCCTCCCTCCAGCGCCGACTGGCAGCTCCTCCCTTCTCCTGCTCCAGGCCTTCTGGCGGCCTTGTCCATCTCGTGAAACATTCTTGCCGCTTCCGCAGAGCTGATCGGTAAGGTTCCTAAGCTCAGTCGGTGCAGATTTCTCAGCCTCCGCTTTAAAGCGATTCATCGAGTCCTCCGCTCGATCCGACGACGCTTCGCTTGATGCTCGCTCGATAGACTGCGGCATTCAACGCTGGAACCCTCAACTCGGCCGAGATATCATCGCTTTCTGCTTCCACTCCCCGAGCGCTCTTGTTGAAGTTGGCGTTGTCGCTTCTTCTCGCGCAGCATTGGCATTCGCGGTCGCTGCGTCTACCCAAGCCGCCCATGTCATCCAAGGTCGTTCGTTCGACGACGAGTCTTGCTCTTCTCAGCTGATTAATCTTTGCCTGCAGCGACTCGTTGTGATCTTGGCTCGCGACAAGCTTGGCCATCAGTTTTGCGTCTACGAAGAAAAACGACGAAAATAATCAGAATCGATTCTATTCGATTCACGGGCAACGCAATATTACCCTGCGACCAAAGATGAGCAGTAGAGGACATGTACTTTTTTAACGCGACACCTACACACATAACTTACGCATGGCTCATGCACGCGCGCAACTATGAAAACGCACTTGATCTCGTCGATCTCTGATCCAGCCCCGCCCAGACCCTCCGCCTCGACGCGTGCCCGCAGAGTCTGGTAGTCGCTGCTGACTTTCGCAAGATGGCGTTCGGTGTGGTACTTGTGGTCGATCTCTTCAGCGAGTTGCTCCCGCAGCTGCTCGGTGTCGTGCTGCGTGTTGTGCAGCTGAGCCTGCAGCGCTGACCTAGCCTGGTGGTGTGGCAAGTTACACGGATACTCATGGCATATGGATGTCAACTGTTGCGTGGCAAGTATAATTAAAAGGTTGCGTGGCGAGTTAGACGCAGGTTAATGTCAACTGTTGCGTGGTAAGTGTATTACTAGGTTGTGTGGCAAGTTGTACGGATGTTCTTGTCAACTCTTGCCTTGCAAGTTGTACGGATGTTCTTGTCAACTCTTGCCTTGCAAGTGTAAGTAGTAATTGGTATGCCTGCTGTAATGTCTTGTATTGCTCATTTCAACTG